CTAACATGTTCACAATCTTCAATGGCTCCCTGCTGCCCTCATGGTATTCAAAGCCTCTAGTGACCTGGCTCCAAGGCCACTCCAGCCCTACACTTCCACCACAGACACATCAACCACACAGCCCATCCTGCCCTTCCCAAGGCTGCATCTCTGTCCATGCCTCTCTTGCCACCCAAACACCTTCCCTCTCTACACACCTAACAAATTCCTATTCATCCTTCAAGAGCCAGCTTCATGGCGCTTCCATGACCCCTAGCTGAATCAGACTCCTCTCTTAGACTTAACACACAGCTGCAACTATCTGACTGATTTGTGTCTCCAGCATTGCTCAGTCTAGCAAAGCAGACAACTTAAGGGATGTGAGTTTAAATCTTTGTTGTTCAATCCAGGAGCCAACAGTCACATATGAAGCCTCATGTTCTAGCTGTAGCCTAGCTCCAAGTTCATATCTTTTGCCTCTCTGAGCATTGGTTTCCCTATCTGTGTAGCCTATCCTTGGAAGACTAGCCCTCTACAAGGACTTTTTGTTTTTGTTTTGCCAGTCCTGGGGCTTGAACTCAGGGCCTGAGCACTGTCCCTGAGCTTCATTTTTGCTCAAAGCTAGCACTCTACCACTTGAGCCACAGCACCACTTCTGGCTTTTTCTATTTATGTGGTACTGAGGAATCGAACCCACAGCTTCATGCATGCTAGGCAATCACTCTACCACGCAGCCACATTCCCAGCCCACAAGGACTTTTTGATTGTTTCTATCACCTGTTACTTTGGATCAGGTCCACGAGAACCTGGAGAAGTAAATGGACAGCCAGGACCCTTCTGACATGGATGCTGAGCTTCTCACCTGCCTTCTCATCAGGCTCCAACAGCTCCAGGAAATAACCCAGAGTCCACAGTTTGTCCAGCAGACTTCCTAGAAAAATATGTCTCTCCACAGGCTTCACCAGGCCTGAGTGGATCTAAAGACCACACATCCATCCCTCCTAAACACGGAGAAGCCCAGACAGTGCCTGGGGGAGGAGAAGCTGAGGGCTTGGTCCACAGGGGAGGGCAGGAGTGGAGAGTCAGACCTGGCTATCAGCACTGCCCGCTCTCCCCACTTCCTCTCTTCGAACGGATCACATCCTGTTATTGTGTGCTGCAGACAGAGAAGGCCAGGAGCTAGGGAGGGAGGCAGGGTTCAAACCAACTCAGTGGGGAGAGATGGAGAGAGGAAGGAATGTCACAGTGGCCCACCACTACTTGATGCCAGGCAGCCCAGGCAGGAATAGGGGAGCCAGGAGAGGGGTCTGAAGCAGCCTGAAGAGGCCCGCCTCAGCTATAGGGAGATGATGCTGGCTGCCTCCACCCAGTCTTTGAGCCCTTGCAGACAGGATGGGGTGGTCCCTGGTGATTCTTCAGCCCCATCCCAATCTCATTAACAATGGCTCTTTTCTCTAAAAACACAAGCTTTTTCTGTATATTACTTTGAAGTTCTGTGACAACCCTGCATGCAGCAATTAAAGCTCAGAGAGATACACTGACTCACCCAGAGTCACACAGCCAGTGCATTAAGTAGCAAGGCTGAAGCTCCAACCTAGGTCATTCTTGACCTCAAAGGCCTTGTTCCCCCTAGGTTCTAGTACCTCTGTTTATGAAATGTACCTACTACCCTCATTGCCACCTACTGCTGCTTGCAAGCTCTCCACTGCCCACAGAGCAGATGGCTGGGATAAGCTGAACTGCTATCTTATCCAATAGCATAGCCAGGACCCACCTACTCCAAAACACCTGCTACTTATTAGGTCTCTTCTTCCTTCCTGCAGGATCTGGTGTACTGGTTCTGGATGTAGACCCCAATTCACATCATATGTGTGAAAGACCTTGGAAAAGCCTTTATCTTCTCTGGGCCTCAAGTCCTCTCCTAGTTGACCCTGGCATGTGTCTTCCCTTACTCAGACTTGTGATTGCCAAGATCCATTGCTCCAGGGCCTGTGTCCTGGTCCCCAGGATTGCTTGTTCACAAGGGCAGTGGGGTGAGAGGGGCAGAGCCTGCTGCTGAGCAATGGTGAAGTTGTTTTTCAGACAGGGAAGAAGGTCAGTGGCATGAAGAGGCTGAGCTACTGTGAGATAAATAACTCCTGATTTCCATCACTCCACACCTCCCCCACCAGGCCAAAGTGATAACCAGGCAGTCTTAGCCCAGGCCCAGAAAGCTCATGTCCTCCTCCTCCCTTTCACCCCTCCAAGGAGAAGCACTCCTGCTAGCCCAGAAAAGAGCTTCTATCTGCCCTTCACTAGCCCAAGTCAGAGCTGTTCACCTACTCCTCACTAGCCCAGAGAAGCAGCCCAGGTCCTAAAAGTGGGTCCCTAATTGCATACAACTGTGGCTTTATAAAAAGAGTTTCTCTCCCTCCTTCCCTGCCTTCTCTCCTCCTTTCCCTTCTTCCCTTCCTTCCTGTCTCTTACTAGCCCAGGGTAGATGTCTACCTGCCCCCAGCAGCCCTCTCTATCTTTCTCTCCTCCCCCAATTCCGCCATGGTAGTAATGTTCTCCTCACCTTAGGAGCGTGGCTGCTTGGCTGGAGGCACTGGAGCAGGCATCTGTGTAGGAAGACCTCTCCAGCTCCTATCTCCTTGCTAGCCTCAGAACTGAGCTAGGCGGTCACACACCAGTGGAGCTCTTCACTGTAAATATGAAAGGGCATTTGTGCAAGTGAACTCCCAAGACGTTGAGGCATGGGGCTCAAGCAAATGTTCCCACTCTCAAGGAGATTGCTTTCAATACAGACATTTGTCTGACACACAGGTGGCACAAAGCCACCCTAAAGGAAGCCCTGTGGGGACACAAGGAAGTGCCTGACTCTATGGAATATAGAACAACTTCCCGGGTATTGAGGACAAGTCCACGAAACGAAGGAAAGGTGGGAAGATGGGTAGACCGTTTGGGGGTACATAAGGTACAAAAGCCAAACGATCATAAAACAATATGGTATAGAACAACAGACAGAGAGTACAACGGGAGCTGAGAGAATGAAGGAGTGGTGAGAAGTGAAGTGATGTTAGGAAGATCACGAGGGGCCTCTTTAGGCCAGGGCCTAGGGTGAAATCCTTTCCCTCTGTGGTCAGAAGCCCCTAGTACCTCAGGGATAGTGTTGGGCCTGGCCTACCTGTCACTGTGGAAAACCTTTTCATTTCTGGGCCTCAGTATCCCCATTTGGAGACAAGGACATTAGCTCACATGGCCTCCAAGGCCTAAGGCAGCCTAGATACTCTGTAGCCTACGATCATCTTTCTCAGTGACCAGAGGATTTATGCATTCTTACTGCCTCTCCTCCTGGAAAACAATTCCTTGCAAGATTATGTGCTCTTCTCTTCTCCAAACCTGGGTCCTGCCTTTCCCTAGAATAGTTAGGTTGTTGCCACCACTCCTCCCTGATGCTGCTCTTATCTGGCCATCAGTGGTTTCCATGTCTCTAAACCCAATCAACATGTTCAGGCCTTTTCTTTCTTGACCGCTCAACTGCACTGGACTTGGCTAACCACTTCCTCCTCCCAAATATTCTTCTGCTCTAGTCTCTAATACTACCTTCTCTCTGTTCTCTTTCTTTTCTTTCTCCCTTTTTTCCTTTTCTTTTGCCTTTCTTTCCTTTCTTTCTCTTGCTTGCTTCCTCTTCCCTCCTTGCTCTTTCTTCTTCCTTCCTTCCTTTTTTCTTCTTCCCTCCACCTCCCTGGTCACCAGCTCTCACTGGCTCATCCTGGGGAAAATCTCTCAGTCCCAACTCCCCTTGTTCTGGGTCAGGGAAAGTCATGCTTGAGGTTTCCAAAAACTGAAGAGCTTCCTACCAGCCTGAGCTTGATCTCCAAGCTGGATCCTGCCTTTGTCCTCCTGTTAATGGAAGCTCTCTGACAGAAGATGCCAAGAGGTCCTGCTCATTATGGAGTGAGTTATCTGCAAAATCCTTAAGTTCCTCTCAGCACAGCTCTCTGCATTAATATCTTTCGTTTTCTAACTTTTTAAAACAGCCCTATTTATATTGTTATTGTAGTTGTGTTTGTGTGTTTACTGTCTTCTGTGATGGAGTTTAAGCTCTGCAAAATCAGAGATCTTTGTTCAATGCCAGATTCCCCAGCCTCTAGATCTAAATCGATGTCTAGCCAATAGCAAGTACTTAATAGATGATTGTAGCCAGATGCCAATGGCTCACACCTGTAATCCTAGCTACTCAGAAGGCTGAGATCTCTGAGGATCACAGTTCAAAGATAGCTCAGGCAGGAAAGTCTGTGAAACTTTTATCACTAGAAAACCGGAGACTCTTATCACTATGGCTCAAGTGGTAGAGGGCTCGTCTTGAGCTGAAGACCACAGGGACAGTGCGCAGGCCCAGAGTTCAAGCCCCACAACTGACAAAGTAAAATAAAATAAATGATTGTAAAGTAACTGAGGGCAGTATGCACACTCAGTTGGAGGAGTCCACCCTACTGAAGTTCCTGAGGATTACAGTCCATACGGTGGTCTCCCCAGACCCACAGTTCTGCATCAAATCACCTTCCTGAGCCTCCAGAGAAATCCTCAGGTAATACAGAGGCCACCACAGCTGGCTTCCAAAGCCTTTGACCTCTGTGCCTGAGCCTCAGGTCTAAGAGCTTCACCTTCCATGGTCTCATCAGAGAATCGGAGCCACCTATGAAGACAGCGTAACCTTTTCTGAGCCTGTGCTGGAAGCAACCCCTCAGCCATGAAAGCTGATCCTACACAAAGAGAAGGAAGCTTTGGAGTTGCCCTGGGCTGAAAACATGGGCATAGGATACTAAAGTAAGGCCCCTTTGGGAGGCCAGGAAGGAGGAGAAAAAATGCAAACCATGAGAGGGAGCCTTCTTCCTTTGTATCAGGACTGCCTGCCAGGGTAGGGACTTCCCACTTCCTAAAGAAGACAGCCAGGTCGTGGAGGTATCCCTATTTCAAAGGAGACAGGTTCTTAGGACTAGGGGAACAAAGAACAAACACAATACCTGGACCTTTTGTAAAACTTTTATTTAGAAATCTTCCCCCATATAACCTTATGTATGTACACATCATCATCATCATCATCATCATCACATGGGCCTTTTTGCTAAAGAGTCACAAGCCCATCGTGTTGGCCTCTGAGCTGTACAAAGGTCAAGGTACCCGGAGCAGTTACTCCTCTTCTGCAGAAAAATGCAGAGACCAACACAATTCATCACATACAGTACAACAATGACGGAAAGTGCTGGGCCCGTCCACAGGAACAGTGCGCTATGTACACAGGCAGGTGAGCCATCGGCAGAAGGTCATGTACCACTGAAATCACAAGTATGGCTAGACCTGCCCAAAAGGCCGAAATAGCTGTCGGCTGATTATGGATGCTGTGCCATTTCATTGTATTTCTGGAGAAAGAATAAAAGCTGTACCATCTTATTATTTGCCACTGCATGAAAAACAACACAAATTCCTAAACGATGTGATTCCTCTTCTCATTACATTTTTGTTTTCCTCAAAACATTTTATGCACAGATATTATGAATCTATTATTCCTGGAATGCTGCAGTTTATTCATGGGTAAGAGAAGGCAAAGGAAGAGAAGGAAGGGTATGGGTTGTAGAAGATCAAAGAAGTGACCATTTTTCTTTAGTTCTTACAAAGACCTAAATAAAACCTCACCCCCTCCCACTAGCCAGACACATATGGGGCAGCTGTGTTCCACTTTCCAGTCTGTCCATGTTCTCTTTTCATTCTCACTTGTTTCTTGCTTTGGACTGAGACACAAATAAATGAAAACAATCTTGATAAATTAAGAGGATCTAGAAAACTCAGGCAAAAGCAATTTATAATCTCAATTACCCAATGTCAACTGCCCACGGTTTGGACTTTAACCTCACTGCAGGTTTGGTATCGAGAGGGCAACAGAGCCTCTCTTTTTTTGGATGCTAGGTCAAAAAGAATCTAGAATCTCATGAACCTAGAATCTCATGCGTGCTAGGCAAGTGCTCTACCACTGAGCAATATATACCCTAGCCCACAACAAAGGTCTTTATGGTCTCAAAACACTTGTACTTTCATTACCATATTTATTCAGTCCATACCACTGCCCCAGGAGACAGTCTAAGTCAAGGTATTTATGAGAAACTGACAGTTAGGTGCCTTATCCTAGTCACACTGCAAATCTGTAGAGGTAACTAAAGCTTGACATCTTGACAGAATGCATAGTCCATCTCATAAGACCCAACTACCTGTCCTATTGCATTAAACCAGATTTCATTCATTCCCAAGCCAAGATAATCTACTAGAGGTAAACACAGCCTTAGAGCCTAGGACAGTGGTTCCACCTTCACAGGGGTGAGATACTGCATAGCATCTCCCAGAATGCTTCAATAGTCAGTCATACTGCTAGAGAACTGGACCTCACAACCTAACTAAAAGGGGAGAGGGCAGGGATCATTCCTTGTTTGCTTAAGGTTGTTTTCAAGGCCCCAGCATGGTGGGAATAAGCTACTGGGTTAAGGCTCAGAGCAGGAACGGTTTCCCACAGCCTCAGTGATGGTCCCTGCATAACAAAAATTGGCCACTGGATATTTTCACTAGCCAGAGCCTAGTGGAGGAGGGTTACATGACTTAAGAGTACAATGGGAGATCCACAGGACTTCAGTGCAGTTTATTCCATGGGCTTGGAATAAACTAGGCCTAGACTTCAGTAAACCATGACCCAGCATCTAGATCAACACAGGAGATAAACAAGGAGGCAGTGGTCCACACTACAAAAGGATTTTCTCCACCTTACAAAAGAGCTTGTAGTAGTTATTTCTTTTTAAATGGATGATTTAAAAAAAAAACTTCCTGTACAACTTTTGGAAGGACATTCCTATTGTATTACATCAACCTCCCATCTGCACCTTTGATGAATGAAAACTACACAATTAAGGGATATTTAAGGTCCTGCTAATGAATATGTATATATTTGGGTCTTCATCAGGGCCTGGTCTCTGACTGGATTCTCCAGGCCCTACAGTAGGGCTGTAAATCCTGGGTCATATCAAGGCCTAAAGAGTCTACTGATAACTAAAGTCAAGCAAAACTTCCAAATACAAAGAATTGGACAGAGTTAGCACTTAATTCAGAAGGAAGAACAAACCACCAACCAACAGACAGACATCTTGCAGGAGGAAATGCCCTCTGAGCCTCGAGAACACACATGGGCTGCAAGTCTCCCAGCATGCACGTGCCATCGGCACACTGGCATCTGCCCACCAACATCAACAGTGATGTGCAGGAGTTGAAGTTGTTCAATTTCCCTTTCCCTTTCCTTGCCTTCGCACAAAGCCCAACAGGGCATATTCATCTCCACAGCCACAGGATAGGAAGGCAAGTGTCAGTGGGAAAAAAGCAGGTTTCTGCTTCCCCAGGATAAGAAGTCAGGGCTCCTGAATTTCCTGACTCTCTGGTCCAGCTAGTCCAGAGCAGGCTGTCAACCAGGCCCTGAAGAAGGCACCTAGAGGCTTGTGAATCCACAGCCGCTGGCAAGCCGGATAGAGCAACACTAGACTGGATAAAGACTGGGCTCAAAATAATGGACAGCTCTTGGGTACCTATACAATGGGACAGAAGCAGCCACAGAAGCTACTTCAGTCAGCTCGGGAGGGGCTAAAGACAAGGCAAAGGTTTCTGGATACCTTAGGTGATGGCTGACAACTCCAGCTTTTAGCAAAGGCAGAGCTCCAAAACTCCAGGCCAAAAGCAGTGACACTTAAGCCCCTTATTTGGGAAGTCTTAGTGACTTTGGGGAAGGGAGAAGACCGTGCCATCTTCAGAAAAAGTACCTACCACTCCACTCCATTTTCCTGTTCTTCCTCTGAAGCAGGAAATAGAAAAGCCAGCCCAGGGTCAGTTAGGGCTTCCCAAAGTTCAGACTGGAGGGAAGTTCATCAAGTCTACTGCCCTGCTTGTCAGCCCATGGTACCCAATGGTCCACCATTCCTGTGGCCTAAAGGCTCCTGTTGGCTGGTCCTGGGCAGTCCTAGACCCATCACCGTGGGCCGGCCCCATCAGTGGCAGGCAGCAGTGAGGGGTGGAGGCTGCGGGCAGTGTGTTTGGGTGCTGGCTCCTCTGTGTAGCTGTCCGGACTAGCGGCCCCATCCAGGGAACTGCCACAGCTGGAGTTGGGAGAAAGCACGTCCTGCAGAAGGTCATCTGGAGGTGCACCACCCCCTGCCCCACCACCAGCAGCCCCCACCACGGGGTCCTTGCCAGGCTTGGCCCGCTGGATGCCCTCCTCCTCCTGGTCATTGAGCAGCTTGGCCAGGAAGTTGATATACTTCATGGCCAGGCGGAGGATCTCATTCTTGCTGAGCTTTTTGTCTGGGGGGTGTGTAGGAATCAGTTTTCTAAGCTCTGCAAATGCCCCATTGACATTCTGCTGCCGCCATCGCTCCCGGCTGTTGGTGAAGATCCGACGAGTGACTTTGGTATGGGGACCTGAATCAAGAGGACAGAGGTTAGGAGAACAGGTGGAGATCTCTCAAAGATTCCACCTTCTGGGAATCACCCACTTCTTCTTCCTCTCAACCCAATCTGTGTACCTCATCTCTGAGACCTTCCTGACAACCCCTTAGGCAGGCCCCCCTCATCCTCTCTATGATTCTCCATTCTGACTGCTTCTGTGCTTGGTTCCTTATCTGGGTTATGTGTCATTTGAGGACACAGTGATGATTCAGGACCTATTCCAAAGCTATTCCACTGCTGTGAGGCTGGTTAGGACTCAGCTGTGTAGTTTTAAGTGAGCTGCTTAACCTCTCAGAGCTTCACTTTCCTCCTTTGTTAAATAGAAACAATGCTGATCTCATGGGTGGTGGGTGAGGATTAAATAAAACGAGCACATCCATACTGTGGACACTATTGTGTCCACAGCATATCATAGGTATCCAACAAGTGGCAACTACTATTGCTGTCACTTACACCCACTACTTCCACCCTTTGAAATGACTTCCTGAGGACTATTAGCAATATGCTGTTGCTAGGAGCATGGTCATGAAAATGACACAAACTTCAGACTTAGGTGGAAAAGGTGTTTACTCTCCCCTCATAGTCCTCATAGTTTCCTAACAGGCAGGAGGAGCTCAGCACCTACCCTAAGCCAGGCTCTAAATAAATACTTTACCCCATTTTCCTCTCTGAGGAACAACATGATGAAGCTGAGCTTCTCCCAGAGCCCCTCCAGGTCCACACCCTCCCTCTGCTAGCTCTAGCCTCAGTGCCTTTCATAGGGTCCCAGACTGCCAGAAGTCCTGATAGCCCAGGAACTCAAAGTCCTGAAGCTCTGAAAAACCTGTTCTCCTGCTTGGGGTCTGTGCCCCAAAGACATTGGGTACTCATCAGGAAGAGGATGAGCGTCTTCTAAGTCTCCCATTTCTCTATCCCCTCCTTTATGGTAGCAGTGCTGCGCCTTCCTCTGGAGGAATCAAAGACCCAGGGTAGACTCTGGTGTTCAGAGGAAGTCTAGGTCTCAATCCAGAGCATGTAACAGGGACACAGAACCCCTCCATGAAGAGACTTGGGTGTAAAGCCTTGAAAGCACAAGTCCAGAGCGGGAGCAAATTCCAGGCTTTTAAGTGGACCTGAGGAGCGATGCAGGGACTCCCTGGGGGGTCACAGGTTGAAGCTGGGAATGTGGAATGTCTCTGCCTCGCCCCATATGCCCCATATATATCTCAGCATGTAGGAGTGGAGCCTAGGCAGGGCACTAGAAGTGACTTCAGCTTTGGCCTAAATGCCACTGCGTCCCTCACCATGCCTCCTCTCCCCAGGACCATGAGTGTGGCTCTCCCAGTTCTGGGACAAAAAGCTTTGGCAGTTTGGGGTGCCAAAGTGGCCTCTTACTTGAGGGAAACGTGCATAATGTCTGATTCCCCCATACTCCCACAGAGGGTTCTAACCACTGTGAGGGGGCAGTACATAGAGTGAGCAGTGTAGACTCACCATCCGTAATCTCCATCTCGTAGGGGGAGGGTCTCCTCTTCACTCGGTTGTTTGTGGTAAACATAGGGAAGGCATCGGGCTCCCCAAAAAAACCGCTGTGTAGGGATTACAACATCACATTAAGATGGGCAAAATGACTGTAGGCTCCTTCCAGGGTTTAGAGCCTCCTCTCCCTGTAAGGCAACCCTGTTCCTTCAGCACTTGACTTGGGGATATACGAATTAACAGAAACTCACACAGACATCCACACAAGCCAAAGAAGGAGCAATGCATCCCTCCATAACACACACACACACACACACACACACACACACACACACACAATCCACTCAGACACCTCAACTCCCAAATAGGATTTCTGCACAGGCATACAGTCTTCATACCTGATGGTATACAACTCTAGCACCACAAAGGTGCATGCTCTGCCTTCCTGCCAATCTCAAAATACAGTTCCCAGGGGACTGCACACTGGGTCCCCTTCCCAATAAGTTCTCTGGGCCATCATACCACCCCAAAGCTGTTTCTCACACCTTGCCCTACCCTCTACCCTACCTCCCTCTACCCTACCTCCTCTGCTTTTCCCCATCCCAACCCTATCTCCCCTCACAAATCACAGTGTCTGGGAAAGGGTAGACTCCTCACACCAACAGTACAGATGCTGTACTGTGGTCCTGGGAACCACAGCTAGTGACTAGGAGCAGAGGGGCTGAGAGTGAGGGAGCCCTCTGTCCTGGGGTGGGGCCCAGGAGGGGATGGCCAGCCAAAATTCAGAAACAGGTGTTAAGCCAGGTGCCAGTGGCTCCCACCTGTAATTTTAGCTACTCAAGAGACCAAGATCTGAGGATCGTGGTTCAAAGTCAGTCAGCCCCCAGCAGGAAAGTCCATGGGAAGCTTATCTCCAATTAGCCAGCAAAAGGCTGGGAGTGGAGGGGTGGCTCAAGCGGTGAAACAGTAGCCTTGAGGGAAAACGCTAAGGGATAGCCCCTAGGCCCTTAGTTCAAGCCCCAGTACCAAAAAAGGGGTGGTGGTGGTGGTGTCTGCAGCCACCCACTCTCATATATATCCTTCGTTCCTGCCTGGTCCTCCCGCAGCGCTCAGAAGTAAGCTCGGCCTCTGCTCGCACGAGGACACACTATCCCGGGGCCCACAGGGAGGGGGGAGTCCCTCCCAGAGGCGTGCACCCCCACATCCCAGCGCGCGCCTGCCTGTCCCGCCAGCCCTTCGCTGGCTTCCTCTTCCACCCGAGCGGGGGCTCCAGCTTCCAGACTGGCAGACTCTGGCCGGGGTCGCCCCCACGAGCAGAAGGGGAGCCGGGCCCCACCGCGATGCTCACCTGCCCAGCGAGGCCAGCGGCTGGCCCAGGCTGTAGAGCAGCGCGCGGCCGGGGCCGGCGGGGGCCGCCAGCGCCGGCGGGCTCAGCTGCACCATGCGGCCGTCCGCCGGCAGCTCCGCGGGGACCGAGGCGGGCGCGGGGGCCGGGGCAGGCCCGGGAGGTCGGCACAGTTCGGTGGTGGGCACCCGGTGGCGCGCTTCGCCGGCCGTCGCCGCCGCCGCCGTGTCGCGGCCCTTTAAGTCCCTGGTGGCGCCGCCCCCGCCGGCCCCGCGCGCGCCCAGCTCGATGACCGGGGGCTCGGCGAGGGCTGCGCGGCTCGTCTCCTTGGCGACGCCGTTCAGCAGCACCAGGTGCGGGGGGGCCATGCGAGTCTCGGCCGCGTCCGGTCCCTCGAGCGGGGTATCACTGGGTGCCGCCTCGCTGGGCGGCCGCTCGGTCATCCTGCGGACAGACAGACAGACACAAGGGCGGATGCCCGCTCTCACAACCGCCCCGGCCCACCTGCAGCGACGTGGGAAGCGGCGGGCAAACAGGGCCACGTGGACGGCGCCCTCCCCTTAACCCCGCACCCTGCGTCCTCAGCCTGAAGGCCTCCGCCCGCCTGGGGCAGGAAAGGTGGGGAGAGGCCGGGAGTGGAGGGGAACCCTGGAGGCACTGAGGGCCAGAAGTACAGAGGTGTAAAGAGAAGGCAGAAGGAAAGGAATACCATACCGCCAGGGAAAGAAAAACCGAAGGGAATAAAAGGAGGAAGGAAATGTGCAAAGGAGAGAAAGAAAGATCACCCGGTCTCTGGCCACAAGGGAAGGGGAGGGAACAAACCCCCCACCGACCTTGTGCTTCCCGCCCCAGCTTTTGCTTTTGGCGGGGAATCTATCAGGCACGGGTGGGGTGCTTTTAGAACCACCCTTCACCTCTCAGCAACGGCAGGGGCAGGCACGCCAGGCGTCTGCCCCACACATACTCTACGGGACACCCAGAAACTTAGTGGAGGGGAAAGCAGGAAATGAAAGGCCCCTTTCAGCCAGAGCTGACAAATTTAGTATTAATAATCTAGAGAAGCAAGTCCACCTTGCCCACATATTTTCCTAGATGGGGGAGGTGTCTACACAGCCAATCCCCCCCCAATTCTGTGTGCAGCTACCCTACCCAGAACAGAGAGACAGCCCAGAAAAGAAGATCTTGGCCCTACAATCCAGTATGTTCTGCCCCATTCTGCTCTGTGGGGATCCATCCAACCTGGAAGGGAGGATCTGAAAGGGAGGCCTGGCTGAGGTGGTACAGCCCATCCATTCAAATAGTGCCCCCCAGAGCAGTGGGGTCTTGACTCCCCCTCCAAAGGAAGGAAGCATCACACAGGCCATAGATCCATCCAGCACCTCTCCCCCCATCCTGGTGTATCCTCTAAGACCTGGTGCTATCCTCTCATTCTTTCTTTCTCTCTGTCACTCTGTCTCTCTCTCCCCTCTCCTCTCTTCTTCCTCTCTCTTTTTCCTCCCCTCCCCCTTCACTCTTCCTGGAACCTTCCAGTGCTGAACATTCACGCTCCAAGATGAACACAGCCATTTGGCTTGCCACAACCATGCTAGCTTTCTTCCATTACTTCCACTTCATCCAAATGGAACTAGACACTGGCAAGAACGGAAGTAGAAAACCCCGAATCCAGAGTTTGGAAGTACTTGCTGCTATTTTAAAAAGGAGGAGGAGAAGGGGGAATCAATTCATGGGGCATAGTAAGACACACACACACACACACACACACACACACACACACACACACACACACACCTGTAATCTCAACACTCCAGAGGAGGAGTCATAAGGATTGTGAATTTGAGACCAGTCTAGACTATACAACAAGATCCTGCCCCAATAGATAGGCATAAATATTGATTATATAAGTATGTATAATCAACTTGAAAGGCTTTGTAAATGCTTAAAATAGTATTTCTGCTCTTATATTTATACAACTGTTACTTTAAGGCCATAAAATAAGTAAATGTCCAATTTAGCTCAATACAAAGTCCACTAACTATTGGTGGCAGACACTGAGCTCCCATTCTGCCACTGAATTGTCTGGAGCAGAGTTGTCCTGGGAAACATCTCTCCTCCTAGAAAGGAAACTAGACCTCCCTCAGCCTCCTCTAGAGCCCAGTTCTTTGCCTGTAGACACCCACAAAGTAGAGAACTGAGTTTAAGACCACAATGCTGTTCTATATCTCCAGCCCCAACCCCACCCGAGAAGACAAAACTCCTCTAGTTTTGTACACCAGCTGCAAAGCTAGTGGGTCTGCCATGCTTCATTGTAACCGAGTTTACTAACAGAAGGGAGATTTCTTAAAATATCCATATCCATAGAATACCATAAACAAGGCACCTAGGCCTCTGGAAATGAATCTCAAGTATGCTAGCCATTCTAGCCTCCCTCCTTCCACTCAAAATATACCAGAAATATCCCAACCCCTGCTGAAATGTAGAAATTTGAGGTTACCTCATTGCTACCACCATCGGTGTGCACCCTATGATCAGTGCTTCTGTCTCAGCTTTGAGTTTCAAGCGTTCACTGCAATCACGAACTGAGCTCCAGTTCCGTTCTGACACATTTATACCCCTGATTAATTCTGCCGCAGCAGCAAAAGCAGGTTCCCAAGGGACAAGGAGAGCACATACTCCAAATGAGTTGACCCTGGCCCCAATGCCCTCTGGAGATGCCTATAAATATCCCTATTTCCAAGGCTTCTAGCAACCACTCCCTACTCAGGAAAACCCTGCCTTCTCTTCTGAGACAAGAATTGCCCCAGCCATGGGTCCATGCCAAGGAAGAAGCCACCAAAAGACTCACAAAGCACCTATGGTTATCTGTCCCTAAACTGCATTAAGTGGGGTTCCATTAAGATTACTGAAAGCCTGGGTGACTTACTTATTTGCTTTTATTTGGGGAAGATCGAGAAGCAGCAGGAAGGTTTAGGACTGGATGGCACTAGAAGAGAGCATTTGATCATTACAACCACCCTCTTTGTGCAGCAGAGACCCAGCTTGAAACTCACAATTTTGGATCCACATCCCCAGTTGCTACATGGTCAGAATGGTGACTCCTGGGATCTCCCTCCTGGGGACAGGCAAGAAGTCTTCAACAGCTGTCCCCACACACTCCATCATGGAAATCTTTTAAAATTAAATAGCTTCAGCTTGTTGAGGGCTAGAGCCACTGCCTTAGACCGGGTCTCAGTCCTGCCTATCCTACTCTCCCCCAGAGCACCTTGGAAAAGCCCCAAACTTGCACAGCATCCTGCGCCTACAAGGGTGGAGGGGTGTTCCCGCTTGGCCACCCTAGGCCTCCAGCCCTGCGTCTGGGCCCACAAACGGGGGTGGGGGGGAAGCCTGTGCTAGCTTGCATGGCTTCGGCCTTCCTGCTGGAGCTGGGAGGTGCAGAGCCTGCACCACCCGGATGTAGCCTCAACAAAGTTACCGGCTTTGTGAAACGTCCACTAAACCAGACGATGGGAGCGGCCTGAAGGATTTAGTCCAACCAGCTGGTTTTACCGGAGGCCGGAAAAAGGAAAGGGCCTTGCTGCTCCGAGGCCCTGAGGTAGCTAGTAAGCAGTCAGATCCCCATTCCCAGCCTGGATTGGTCCCTTCCTCTGAGGCTGACGTTCAAGACCGGGCTCTCCCGGGTCCCGAGCCTCCTCCACCCCAGGCGGGAACCCCAAGGCCTTCCTGTGCCCCAGTTCCACCGATATGGCCCCTCACCCCGACTCACACACAAAACCTCACCTGGGGCATATTTAGACAGACCGGACCCTCTGAATAGAACCTCCACTTCTCCGCCGAGAGGGGTCCAGATTGGGATGGGGGGAGTCTGCTTCCCCCCACTCGCTGGGAGGCGAGGAGTTAGTTAGGCTGCGCGGAGGTCCTGGGCGGTCTGCCGCGCCCAACACGAGTTTCCAGGAAAGATGGGGGTGGAGAGAAAGAGGGAGGGCGAGAGAGAAATGGGGGGTCAATGGCTGGGAATTACCTCACGTGCCCTCGCTAGCTAGCCCAGGGAATCGGGAACCGCTTTCCGCCCCCAACCCGCAGGTGTTCAGAGCCCCCTCCTCCCCGCCCCCGTTAAAAAAAAAAAGAACCCTCCACCTGACCAATCAGAAATAACTAGTCCAAAAACAACCCCCTCCCGACCCCTGCAACTAGGATCCGTCCGCTTCACTATGGCCGAGTTTGGTTTGTAAGCTCGGACGCCATCTATGCGGGGTGCTCCGCAGCCTAAGCCCGGTGCGGGTTGCGGCCTCGGGGTAAAGCTGTGGTCCTCAGCTTAACAGGATTGGGGTGGGGGCTGTCAGGAAAGGCGAAAATGGGCTCCTAGGATAGAACCTCGGAGCCCCTTGGCCATTCTCTCTAGAACCCCTATCTTATCTAATTCAAAGCGGGGGAGCCTGTCCATCCTCGGCCCACATCTAAACCAGAACCGAGTCCAAGGGCCAGACATCCATTCCTGCAGGAAGGGAATCCACCACGGGAGCTGGTGGAGTGGTATGATCTATTCAGGGCCCTTCTTTTCTCCCCACTGACAGAAACAAAGAAAAAGAGAGAAGGAAAGAAGGAAGGAAGGAAGGTGGTAAAGAAGGAAGGAAGGAAAAGCTACAAGAGAAAGAAAAGGAAAAAAAATTAAAAAGCAGAAATAATTTCTTTCCCTCTACCACCCTTACAAAACGATTTTTCTATTTTTCCGGGTTTTTGACAGGCAGAATAAGGAGCAATTTTAACAATACATTGCAGCAATAAAATAAGGGGAAAAAAAGGTAGGTTAAAAGCAAACCCCTGTAGCTGGGTTTACTTTCCCTTTACCCCCCACCCCATGAAACCACCGGTTTTGTTAAATTTGTGTCGCCTAAATCGTCCAGTTTATGATGTTTGCAGATCGAAGTCTTGGCTTGATTGCGAAAGCTGCTTTCTTTTTGTGATGGATTTGGGAGGAAATGAAAAATTAAAATTACCTCCTCTCCCCCCCCGTGTTTCAACCCAATGCAGAGATTTTTTTTCTTTCTCTTCTAATCCAAATTGAGGGAGGGGGAACCCATCCATTCTCAGTATGTTAGTTGGGGCTAATGCTTGCTTTATGACTGAATTCTTCTCTGATCCTCTCTCCATTTTCTCTCCCTACCCCAAAGCCAGCCACTTGGAAAACCGGGCTGAGGGTGGGGAGATGGGACTGCGCTGCTTTGTTCTCCCTCTAAAGCGACAAGCTGCAACGCCTCTGGACGATTATTTCACTAAAATGGATGTTGATGAGGGCTGTGATGTGGCCTTTATTAGCAACCACGATCACTGGCGTCAAGCAGTCCTTCCTTCTGGGGTGAAGGCGGCACGCATGGGGTCGTCGGCCACAGCCACGCACGCGACAGGCATCTGATCCACGTCGGGAGGTCATTCCCCCGAGGAGGGATGGGGAAAGGTTCCCCGAAGGTAATCCTGAAAGCCCCCTCCCACCCATAGTACCAAGTCTGGAAAATGCGCCCATTGTCCTTACCAGGCCTCTTCCCCCGGGCGATGGCGGCCGCACCCGCGAAACTGACCAGAAGTGGGTGAAGCGGGAGGCGCGGCGCGAACCCCAGCCCGCCGCTACCGGCTTCGCAGGCGCGGGCCTCGGCGAGTGCTGCTCAGCTTCGGGCTCGGAGGAGCCTCCCACTCACCATCGAACCCCACCAACACCGAGGCACCGACTGGCCTTACGGACAGGGCGGCCGCCGACTGGGCTGTGTTCAGCCATCCAAGCCCACACTGGCTCCCGAATACATCATAATTTGGAATAAAATGTGAAACCCCGCTCCCCGCCCCCCACGCCGACGCCCCCACCAGCGTCTCTTGGTCTCTCGCTCTCCCTCCCCCCCACCCCCGCCCCCCAGCGATTTGCAAATGCACCTCTAAAGGACACAAGCACACAAGCACACAACTCACTGTGGACGAGACCACACATGGTCCAGCCCCAGAGGAGGGACGCAGAGAAGTCCGACCCGACACTACCCCACAAGCCGACGTGGTCAGATCCCCGCACTGCCCAACACGACACAACGAAATCAATCAAACGCAGCCGCTGACCGACACACAGCGGCACAGCCAGGATCACACACACCCGACAGAACAACCACACCGCCCAAACGCACCTCCAAGGCCACACAACCCAACACGCAAGAGCCCTGTCGAGAAAGGAAACGGGTACAATGACATACAACGAATACACGGCAGAAGGGCCTCGGGAGGGTTCGAATTCACAAACCCAGACCGCACAGTTGCGATCACACTCGGACACACAACCGCTCGCGCCCCCAAAGACCACTCTGTAGGGAGCCGTCCACATTGCCCACGGCTCACGCACACGCAACTCGCACAATCCCACCGCATGCACACAACCACGGAGAAGAAATGAACACCAACCACTGCCTCGCTCATTTCTGTATATTGCGTAAGGAAAAAGGGGAAGGAAGGAAGAGAGTCTCCGAGGCGGGAGGGGCGATGGCGGCGAGGGCGGGGGGGGGGTCAGTGGAAAAATGTCCCCCCCTTCTCGAGGAAAGAACCCCAAGGAAAGGAGCGATGGCTGCTTCTGCAAGGTGTTGGGAAAGGAGGAAGACATGGACCAGCAATTCCGTGGGAGGCTGCAGGTCCCTTCTCCCCACCCACACTCTAAGAAAATGGCCAGAATGCTCACGTTTTTCCCGTACGGGGGTGCGCGTGTGGCCATTTTGAGGCCTGCTCCTTGGTGCGGAGGCCCGGCCCCTCCCGCCGGCCCGACCCCCCCCCACGCCCGCCCTCCCGCCCGCGCCCCGCTCGGGCCCCGCCGCGCTCTAATCCCGCTCACGTTCCAGGCCTCGTTAGCATGGGCCGCGGCGCGCTGGGGCCGTGTGCGCCGCCGAGATAAGGCGCTGCCGCGGGTCCGCCCGCCCCCGATAAGCGCCTCGGCCATTATGGCCCAAATGATTCATTTTAATTTGGCAATTTCACCGGAGGGAGCGGGGACTGGTTGCGCGGCACTGGAATCGGCTCCGGAATGCGCCGCGGAGAGGACTCAGCGCTCGGTCTAAGACCCCGCGGCGCGGCGCGGCCCCATTTCTCACCTCCAGGCCTCTCGGGAATCCCGGCTCCCCACAACTGCACTCCCTCTCCCCCCTCCCTCCTTCTCTCCCGCCCTGGACCTTCCACACCTTCACTGCCTCTTACACCGACCGATACCCTGTCCCGGCCTCAGAAGATCACCTTGACACCTCAACCATCACCTCCAACCTTTATTCTGTCTCCCAGGTCCTAGATACCGTGTTTCAATGGCTAATTTGCTTTTTGGCCAAAAGCCGCTCCCCCCCACACCCCTATTGCCCTGGCTCTCAGACCGATATAAAATGGAAGGGGCTCTTCATGGGTAGATGTTAATACAATCATTAAAATACCCATTCTTCTTGGTAAAATCTCAGTCATGAATGTCACTTCATTCCCCCATAGTGTGTTTAACATACGTTTTGCTACTGAATTAAGCTAACAATTTTGCGACTGGGATTGTTTTAAGCCTTCTGCGTGAGTGTGTGTGTGTGTGTGTGTGTGTGTGTGTGTGTGTGTGTGTGTTGGGGCTTGATCCTCAGGACCTTGGGTGCTTTTCTGCTCATGGTTGGTGCTCTACCACTTGAGCCACGTCTCCACTTCTGGCTTTCGTGAGATTAATTGGAGATAAGTCTTGCAGATTATTTTGCATCAGCTGGTTTCAGTGAGCCTCAGATCTCAGCCTCCTGAGTAGCTACAATTACAAGCTTAAGCCACCAGTGCCTGGCTCTATAAATACTTTTAGTCTTCATAAACAAGTGGAGGTGTAGCAAAGTGAGTAGAACATTTGTCCAGCATTCTCAAGCCCACAGTTCCCATCCCAGCACTGGGAGGGTGGGCATACAGAAAGAAATACTCCCCTGATATCTTTTTGTTTTTACTTTCATTATTTTTTATTTGTAGATGAAACACTGAAGTACGAAGAGCAAAGGTCAGGCCCAAAGTGACATTTCATGCGAGTAATGAAGCCTAGTTGGAAGGAAATCTGGCTGGCACACAGAGCTCAGCTGAAGAAGGGCTGGAAAGACTGCAGGCTCAACTCATTGCAAGGACCAAGATCTATACTAATAGGTAGGAACCAAAGTTCATTGCCACCTGGGTGATTGGGGTTTAGCTCATGGAGGTTTTTTGGCTTTATTTTTTCATGGTAGTACAGAAAGACCTCAGGTTCAAATTTTAAATCACCTAGCTCTGAGCCTAAGTTTCTCCAGAGAAGTTTTTTTCCCCCTATCACACGAAGTTGTGAGCATTAAATAAAATTATATTTAAAAGGTAGTGTGGGAAGGGTTGGTTATATATAGAACCTTGTGCAGACTATATATGACCCAGAAAAACACCATATGCACTTGTAATGAGAGAGCTGGTTGTCATCAGAGAGCAGGAAGTTAAAGCACAGTGAGATGTGACTTAGCCACGTCTGGTTACTGCTACCCAGGGAACACCCAGGACTCTACATATTGTTTAAGTCACAGCTCTACTCATGATCATGCTAAGTTGCTTTGTCCCTCTAAATATCTTGTTTAAAGGTCCTTTTGGAGCCTGAAAGCTAGGGGGAAACCCCTAGTCTGGTTATAGATGGAGAGCCAGTCAAGGACTGATCTGAGTATGGTCCCCTACGTTCTAGCTTCTCTTGGGTCTCAGGAGAACCGAAATGGCACCTAACACAGTACAGCTCTTTGTGCCCACTAGTTCCTCTGACTTCTCTGGCGAAAGTCAGCCTGCAATTTGGATACAGGTGACTTCCACAGAATCCTATGGTGGAAGGGCCACTGTGTCCCAAGAAGAGCCTAACCCTGACTCCTTCCCCTGGCCCAGAGCTCTTGCCTTCACTTGACCT